GAGACAGAGAGAGATAGAGACGTAGACTGGGCTTCCTGTTTATCTGCCAGAGAAGAGATAAAGCAAATAAAAGTAACTAAAAGAAAATCTATTGTGCTTTTCTACAAGTTTGTTTTCAGTGATGAAGTTAATAAAACAAAACAGACTTTATGTCATAAAAACTGCAGCTATTTGTTTCTTTTTTTTCTGTTTTTTGGACATTTTCGTACAGTCAAGCTACACAGGAAATGTGGGAAGAGACAATGGGGGAAGAGATGCAATAAACATCTGTGGTCTGAGTCAAAGTAGAGATGTTGCTGTTGAGTCATGGTTCATGGTCCAAGGTGATGCCAGCATCACGTGATTAGAGATAAAGATTTTAGTTTGATTTACGGTCTCAGTTTTCCCAAGGATTTATTCTGGGGCCTATAATATTCACCCTCGTCTACATGGGTGAGCCAAACCATTACGACCAGTCACAGATGAAGCAAAGCCCAGTAATTGTCTTCCAACAATGACATATGTGACCGTCTGGACAGACAGAAGTGAACAGTTGGTTCACATAGTCAGCGTGTTGATATGCTGATCGTTATCACCAGACTGCTGGCCAAGTGTTTCCCTAAAACAGCATGGCTTAAGAAGCTCAGGTGTAAAAGGAAATGTGGGGATGAAGCTGACTCAGGGTGAGGACAGGGGACACCCTGGACAGGTAACCAGTCCATCACAGGGCCACATTTAGGATAGCAGATAAAATTAAGAAAATACAATACAGAACTTTAATAGATTTCTGGATTCTTACTCCAAGTCATTTTTTTTGTAATTTTGTGCTGTGAGGTGTCTCATTGTATAGCTGTGTCTCTGTGAGGACGTACAGAGCAGCTGAGAACGCTGCTTCACACCTGAAGCCTGAAGCCTCTTCTCTATACATGAGACTCAGGAGAGCAGAACGTCCACACACCACCGGACTCATTTTCTGCTCCACAATTCCTCAGTTCTAACTTTTGTTTCTGGTCCTGTCTGTGAGCCTCTGTGCACGCATGCAGACGCACATTTGCGTGTGTGGTTGTGTGTCATAATTTGTGGTTAGAGGACCTTGCAAAGTGTGGAAAAAGAGAATTGAATTTATGGCCCAGACCCATTAGATGACGGCAGGTGGAGAGCGTTCTGCTGCATGCTAAACGGCCTGTCAGCACCACAGTGGAGGACTGCCTCGTGTGTGTGTGTCTGTGTGTCTGTGTGTGTGTGTGTGTGTGTGTGTGTAGGCTTGTGTCAACCTCTGCAAGTCCTCTGCAAGTCCTCTGCAAGTCTTTGTATGCCTATTGACCCAAGCCTGTATTTATGTCAGACTTTGTCTCCCGTGTCTCTTTCCAGCCGTCAATCTCTTTAATAGCCAATCTGAACAGAAGTCGGGGGAACAAAGAGAGACGGCACAGAGATGGGAATGAGGGAGGAACATTGCTATCTTCTTTTCGTCTTCCTGACGTGTTTTCATTATTACGTTCAGCTGGGATTCGGCCTGTGCCCCCACCTGCCCATCAGCAGGTGGCTTCACAGCCACAGTGAGCGTCAGACTGCTCTGTTACGTTGTCCTGGAGGGAATCAATGCCTCAGCATCAGCGCGCCTCCACAACTGGACTATTCAGAATTCAGTCCAGCTTGGCCTCTTGCCAGAATCGATGACTTTAGCGCAGCATCTTTTGTATTGTAGCCTTGTTTTGCTGGAAACAGTGCAGAGAATTGACTTTGGCTGGTGCTCAGATTTGCTAGAAGTCAGATGTGGAAAAGGAATAATAACAGTAGATAAAAGAATGGCTACCTGTGATTAAAACAATGTGGTCACGCCTGTCTAACAACGACAAAGGTTGTATTAAAATTATCAAATGTATGTGAACACTGTGGACATTTTTGCTGTGGGTATCATCTTTTAGGAAATGGCTATCAGTCTGTGACATGAGATCCTAATGCTGCAGTATGCAGTAATATTTAATAAAAATAGTGCCTCCTACTTTTCCAGTTTGTGTTTTCCCTTTCCTGTTTGAACATGACATGGTTTCTCCAGTTTGGTTGGACATCCAGCACCTTTGAGGTGACCTGGCAGTTCTGATACCAGCCAGTCCAACTTTACTGATGGACCTTTTGAATGGTTTATATGTAAATGTAAGCTAATCACTGCAGTTAGGTCAAACACTGGCTGAAAAACCTGAAACAAGAAGAGAGACAGAGGTTGTGGCACATTAACGCACTTGATTTTGGAATGAGGTGTTGAACAGCAGAACATGCTTTGGCACCAAATGTCTGGACTTTCCCAGGGGTGAAGGTTCTTCTTGTGCCATCTGATTGTGTTTCCACACCAAAGCCCAACCCCAAGAAGATTAAGCAGGTTAGTCTGCTGATGTATCAGACACTTGATGGTGTCAAATTCCCTCTGAATGTCATAATATGCAAAATAAAATAGACAACAAAGCCTGGACCTTGTCGCCGGTCTCTGTCAGTAAGTCTGTTGCGCTGCTGCATACTGATGATTGTCAGCCACAGACTACAAGCAAAACAACTTGCTTGCAATTGTGTGTTTTTGATAAGATGACAGTGTAACAGTGTTGAGGATAATGCTTTTGCACACACAAATCTCCTGTGTTCACTGATGCAAGCCCTGGAGTGCTCCTGAACCTTAAGAAAGTATGAGCAGGGACTCGTTGGAGGAAAAACTATTTTCCTGAACCTTAATTTAAAACCTGCTTCCTCTGGTGAAAACTCAGGTAGAAGAACTGAATTCTTTACAAGGTACCTGCTTCCTTTGAAGTTGTGGGAAAAGTGTGCAGTGTATGCAAGCCAGTTTGACATTCGGTGATGGAAACATCCAGGAAATATGTCAAAACATCAACTAGAGGCAGGAAGAATGCAAGCATTGCACATCTTGTGTAACAGAACAATCTGAGCTTGAAGGTGGACGTTTCCATTCTCTGACTCCTGGTCATTGACCTTTGACCCTTTTCAGTCAATTCTTTTGATTTGTTGTTCACAAACTTGGTCAAATTCATCGACCGTGCGCCAGTGCACAGCTGAAGGATCAAAGAGAATCCTGACATCTGACACTAAAGGCCGTTCTTTCACCAAGACAAGCTGGCATCAACTCTTCAGAAAACAATCAATTTCATCCCCTTTGCTCCCTGCATAGGCCAATCCCTGCTTCTTTCCTGAGGCTACTTCTTTTGTCTGTATCATGGTGTGTGTCAACTGATGCATATAAAATGACTCATATTTCACAATGCCAGCAAAATATGTTGCACTTAAAACTATTGAAATAAAAATCTGCAAGGATAATGAAAATGATAAAAGTGCACATAACTGAAGAGAGAAGACTCCAGTCTGGTGCAGCTAAAGCTAAGTGCTTTCGTTATCATCCAGAGCAATAGAGACCACGGCCGTTCTGACTTTAAATGTGGCTACAGTTGGGGAAAGTCTCCTCTGTTTAAGTGTGTCAGAGCTCTATGGTGGAAGAGAAGCGAGCTCAACAATATCACAAGACTGCTCCAGCCCGCGCAGTTCAACATGTTTTTTTTCTTCACTGAAGTCTAGAAGGAAATGAGTCTGTTGGAATGATGACAGATGCATTCTTACAGTTCTTTTGAGGACCATTTCTAATTCCAGGATGTGTTTGCATTACTATAAGTATATTTAAAATTGCAGTTTGTATGTCAAAAGTTGTCTACCCTCGACTGCCACAACAATAAAAACCGTTACTGGTTCCTTCCATGGGCGGCAAACCGCTAAATGCTCCATTACCTTTTTATTGTTTGTGGGAAGTAGAAGCATGTTGGGCACTTTTATAATTTTTCCTTGGACTGAATGCCATTAGTACAAAGTCAAAAGAAAAAAAATCCATTTAGCCCATTCTTTTTGCCCTCTTTTCTTTCCTCCTTTTTTCTTCCATTGCTGGCGAATATGATTGTGTCTGTTGGCCCAGTGACTCTCCATCTGACCCCTGTCTGTTTTGATAGAATCTGATAGCTGCCACATCAAGGACAGATCAGTACACCAGAGAGCCATGTAGGTCTTGAACCCGTGGAGAAAAAAATAGAAAAAGGGAGAAGACAAAGACCAAAGCAAATACAGCAAAAGTGGCAGCCACAGCAGCGAGTCTCGTTCATTTAGGATTCAGTCAGTGTGATTTGCATAGGCTGATCTGATTGGGCTCTATATGTCAGGTCTGAAAATTACTCCCAATCAGCTTTAACCTTGGACAAGCTGCTATTGACTTTATCCCCAGGTAAACTGCCAGACACTTTAGCATTAAGACAAACAGGTTCATTATCATGATTGTTTGGCATTCTGATGAGGTTTGACAGCTGATAGTGTTACTGTATGATTTACATTTTCTCTCTTTCCCTTTTTCTTTCTCTTCCCTGTTCCACCTCTGCTACCTTTGTCTTTGTTCCTCCTGTTCTCTCCACAGGGTCTTAACCTACTCATACCTGCTGTCCTTTAATGCCTGGCTGCTGCTGGCGCCCGTCGTGCTGTGTTATGACTGGCAGGTTGGCAGCATCCCTCTGGTGGAAGCACTCGGTGATGTGCGTAACGTGTCCACCATTCTGCTGGCCATGGTGATGGTGGCTCTGTGCCTGCACTGCATCTTCTCACTGCAGGTAAGCACAAGAATGCCACCTGAAGTGCCTTACACCATATTTCCAATGAACTGTGCTGATTCCTGAAGCTTCAAAGCTTGTCTGTCCTCATCTGTGCAGTTTGAATAAGCCTTAGATCTCCCAGTTCCTGCTGGTAGCAGTACAGAGACAACAGGGTTGAAAGGAAACCTCTGTGATCACATCAAAACTTTTCAAATGAACCATTTTCTTTTAGATCCTAAGCAGTGCAACCACATACATTACAAAAACTGTTTTGTACATATTACGGAATGGGTCTGAGGGAAAATACCTGGGACTGATGTTTTCAGTCTCATTATTCCCATGATGCCAGAGTAGGAGATCCCCCACATGTACTCACATAGATATTTGTGGCCCTCAAAGTATGACGTACAGAGTATGTCATTTGTGGCTTTCTCTAATGAAAAAATAAGAATAAGAGACTTCATTTGATGATATTGTAAAGCGAAGGGATCATGGAAGCTGTTGTCTTCACCACTATCTATCTACCTGATGATGTCTCAGGTGCTATCATTGTTTGAAAAGCTGAAAATAGTTTAGTACAAGAGTCGACAGAATAAATAATACTGACCCAATGATAGTCCTACAGTTTCATGGATGAGTTAAGACCAGGTAACAGCAAGAAACAGAAAAATCTGGTGGTAGAAGCTTGGTGACTTTTGGAGTCTTTATAGGACCAATTAACACAGTGCTGTAACTGACAAGCTAATTGCCACCAAGTCATGCAGGGTAGTGCTCGTCAGTCAAAACAGTTCTCAAAGCTTCCGTCTGTTTTTTCTGTACTGGTGTTTTGTTCTCTGGATTGCACATCATTACTTTCAAAAAAATGTTTATTAAAGCTTTGAGGACAAAGCTATCCAATCTAATGAGCCTGCAAATTGTCCGTTAGCAACCGTTAGCTCAGCTGCTCATGGGACAGTAGGTGTCTCACTGTGGACTCATTTATCGCATATCTACCGAGCAGCATTCATCCTGGCCATGATGCTGTGTGATGGCATAAGCCTTAATGGTGTGTTAATTTTTTAAGATTTATTTTTTTTGTCTTTACTAATTAAGGACAGCTAAAGAGAGACGGGACATAGAGGGAGAGAAGGGGGATAGCAGGAAACCAGGGGCCGAGGCTGGATGTGAACCTGGGCTACTGCAGTCAGGCCTCAGCTGGGTGCATGGTGCACATTCTACCAGATGAGCAGCCAGGGCGCCCCAAGGTTCATTTGTGACAATATCCTAATTACTACCTGTAGATTAATCATAGGATTCAGAATAATTCATCCCATGTCAGTGAACTTTAACAGTACTTTTGGAGTGTTCCACTAAAGAGCTCAGTGTGAACCTAAGGACCCATTAATCTGTATGCGTTCAGATCTCAGTGGGGCTCTTAATTAGTGTTTCAATAAAGGCAAGTGTGCTGAAAAGGTCAGCTTGGTTATGCCTCTATTCACTGATGAGCCAAAACCTTGTTACAAAGCCTACGTAACGTGCTTGTTATTGACTCCAGTCCACCAAGGTGTGGACTCCGGAGGTGCCTTGTGGTATCCAGCACTGAGATGTTAGCAGCCGATCCCTTAAGTCCTGCAAGTTGTGAGTTTGAGGCACAGAGGATCAGACTTACTGCAGCACACAAATTAACACCCTGTTGCTTGCTCGTGGTTCACTGTCAGCAGACACTCACCCCTGGCGACCACGAACACTTCACAAATCCTGCAATTTCATCAACACTCTGAGCCATTCGTACAGAGCAGCTTGGCCCAAAGTTGCTCAGTCTTTCCTCCTTTTGTTCAGGACGTCCACATTTCTCCTGCTTCACACACACTGATCACAAGAACTGATGGTTTACTTTCATAAATCTCTGAACTCGACATGTGCTCCAGCATCATGATCTTTTAAGTGAGTGTTCTGAATCTGTATACAGCAGCTCTCTTTGTGTCTCAGGATTGCATGCAGATGTTTGACTTCAACAGTTTAAACTACTGCACATGTCTGTTAACCCAAGTCTTTCTGTTGTGTCTTCAGTGCCAGGATGTTAGCTCATCAGTGTATGATGAAAATGATGAACACGTAGAATCAATTAGAAAGCTTTACCATGTTGTAGCTGTATTATTGTGGCCATTTCTAATTAAAACAAATAGTTAACACATTCAGTAGTTCTTAATGTGTACTTTAGGGTGCTTCTGGTTACTGAAAAATGAAATATTGTGCTGGGCTGTGCAAGTGCTGGGGGGTGCAGTGGTTGGTGCTGCCACCTCAAAGCAGGAAGGTCCTGGGTTTGAACCTGCTGCCCAGCTGGGCTCTTTCTGTGTGGAGTTTGCATGTTCTCCCTGTTGCCTGCACGGCTTTTCTCTGACTGCTCCGGCTTCCTCCCACAGTCTGAAAACATGCTGAGGTTAACGGGTGGGTCTAAATTAGCCGGATGCGTGAGCGGGCTTGGTTGTCTGTCTCTTTGTGTCGACCCTGTGATGGACTGCTGGCCTGTCAGAGTGAAAAGGCTCCAGCCCCCCCGTGACCATCTACGTAGTGAAGCAGATATAGCTGGTGCATGGATGTGCAAATGCTTCATTCACACACACATTCTATTGTATTTATTTTAATCTAGATGCAAGAGTGTTAGGGAAAAAACACAAACATACAGAAATCTTATTCTACATTTTCAAGTCTCATCTCATACACCACCTGTTACTATGAAGACAGCCTGTTCTGGTGAGAAACGGGTTTTCGGGCACATATAAGCTCACATTTCCTCAGTGTGTTTTGTCTGTGGGGAAGAGGTTTTTGCTCACTCAATCTTTTTGCAATACCTCGTGTTCTCCCATGCACTTTACACTCCTGTTTGGTTTTCCCCACAGTGCCTTTCTGCTTATTTCTGTCTACATTTCAGACGTGTTTTGGTTCAAGGAGTCTTTTTTGAACTGTGCTGCAGTTTTGGGGAGAAAACATTCCCTTAAACAGAATATTTTATGGCAGAAAATAGCATTTAGTCACCCTAAATGCTTCCAGGTGTTGCTGCTGCTTTCCTCTCAGGCTGTTTATTCTGCAGATCGGTATTCAAATACGGTAACTTTTCTCTGGTATAAAAAAGTCACGACTTTGTCATGGTTGTGAGCCTTGTACTCTGAGAAGTCAAAATATTCAAAAATGATTTTCTTTTCATCCATCACCGCTTCAGTGGAGCAGGAGTGAGCTATGTGCTTCTGAATGCACAAGTAGAATTGTGTTATTTGCCCAGGACATTTTGTACATGGAGACTGTTAAATTTCACTTCCTTGGAGAGGCAAGGAGAGAAGCCTTCTTAAATATTACATGCAAAGTAGAGCTGAGACACAACATTATTTAAAGCCTAAATGTATGCCCAATATGCTCATTTATAAAGTAGAGCAACTTAACATGACTAAATGGAGTTTAGCCTTGAATATTATTTGGTGTCTAGGTAACATGGTAATTTAGCATGTCAACTCTGTCTTCTGGAACTTACATTGACATACAACTAAATTGCAGCCCTGCAGCTGACTGACACCTGTCCAGGGTGACTGACTCCCATCTCCAGCTAGAGCAGCCTCTGTGGTCCAGGATGGATAGGATGGTGTCTGGTGTGACAGCAGTGCACTTGTACGCCCACCGTCCGCCCCCACCACCTCCTGTTGACTCTGGTGCAGTTTATAAGCGTGGCACTGTAATAAAACACTGTGTCTCTGCTGTATAATTGTCATTTCTCTGAAACAGGGTTGGTAATTTTTGTCGTATGTGTTGAATTTCCTTGACTTTGATCGGGTGAATTCATAATAACTCAAACATGCCACCCATGCAACTGAATCAGATCGTTCCACTCAAATTGATTTTACTTCAAAAGATTTGCTGATTTTTTTTGATGCTGTGATGTGCAGCTCAATATTATTACACAAATTACTCTTGTTCCCATTGCAAATGGATTCCAGTGGGGAGAAGGAAGTGAACATATTTTCCCAGCCGCAGTATTGAAGCATAGTTTTGATTTTCATCCAGTATTTGCTCTCTACTACTTTGAATAGGAAAATGCTTATATTTTCTTAATCCGTTGCATTTATTGAACAGTGTAGGTTCAGCAGCTCACTAGTTCTCTTTCAAATAAAGGTTTTATAAAACATGTAATCAGTTTATACATTTTGATATATTATAGTAGATTACACTACCCATCCATAAAGGTCCATGCATAAACACATTAGGAGAGTGGGATGCTGTTATTGTCAGTTGTTTTGTATATGTTTGTGGTCGTTTTGTGGGTTCCTATAGTTGTTGTGTCTCTGATTGTGGTCATTTTGTCTGTTTGTGCTCTTTTTTCAGTCTCTTTTTGACCATGTGATCATTCGCTTTGTGGTGTCTTGTATGTCTTTATGATCCTTTTGCATCTCATCGTGGTCATTTTGTGTCTGTAGTATAATTATGTTGTGCAGCAGTACATCAGGTCAAGCGTTTTATGTTGTAAAGACCTGTAGAGCTAGCTATGTGTCAGACAGTCAGCATGTTGGAAGCTGACCTTTAATTATAGTGTCTAATTAAGGTCAATAAGTCTCCCTTTTAAGGAAGAGCTGCATGTGTGCAGTTTCAAGTGTAATAAATGTGTTGTGTTGCAGGTTTGAATCAGATTTAATTGGTAATCTAGCACCTACATTAGATTCATTCAGGACCGAGTAGACTGTAATGAAACCAGACTAAAGAGATGAAGTAATTTCAGGCTGTGTTTGTGCAATTTCTCGGCCCTGTTGTGTTTTATATTCACGTATGTGAGTGTGACGGGCTTTCTGTGCTGACGGCTTCCCAACACTGCTCTGTTTATCATTCAGAGAAGAACCCTGAGCACATTAGGGTTGTTTTGTCTCAGATTCTTGTGGAATCCAGTCAATTCAGACGCTATCAGGCCATTATCAGCGCATATCATTGCCATGCATATGGGGCAGTTAAGACCTCTTCCACCTTGGATTAGTGGGCTCATTATCATCCATTCTGAAAAT